TTTTAGCATTGGACGATGCATTGCAGTCCTTTCTCACTAGCAACCGCCTCGAAAACGAGAAATCCCCCCCATTATATATAGCATATAATATACATAGCACATTCCTGGGGTCAAATTCGTATCGATCCCCAATTGTATCAACGAGCTTCCCACATGGCCCCCATATCTCGCATTTCTGGCCCAATGGATCTATTTGCCATTTTTGCTTGTCATGAGGTGGCACAGTGGAGCTGCAACATGTTCTAATTCCACGTGCTATGGATCAGTCAGTTTCGGCTGGTCACCGCACGCCTCGGATTCGAGTGGTCATCACAATGACCAGGAAATTCATGAAACAACCCAGGACCAGCATGATCAAAGCGTAGCCCATGAACGGATATGATCCCGTAGTGCTGTCTGAGACCTTGTCTGACACAGCAACCTTAGCCCCTTGGGCCAAGGAAAGCAAATAGCCACCCAGGATCGGACCCAAAGTCGAGCCGAAAAATCCGACCACTCCCCAGAGTCCAAGAGCTTCCGCAGACGTCTTGCCTTCCGGCAAGCAATCCAAGGCTAATGCATAGTCCACGCTAAGGTATGCTCCGGATCCGATACCATAGAACACGGCCGCGGCAACTACAGCAGGCCAGGACAGGCTAGGCACAAGCGGAGCGAGGATATACAAAATGAAGGTGCAAACCATGAACATACAAGAAAGGTAGATCATCGGCTTTCGCCCCAATCGATTTGAAAGCCTCCCAAGGGGCAGGCTTGTTGCCATACCCACGCATTGCATCAAAATCGCCAAACTGCCAATGACTGCTTTGCACCGTGCCTCCTCCTCGACATGCAGCATATCTCGGAAATAGAAGTACATGAAGGTAGCCACTGAGGTTGACATGTAGTAGCACATGCGTCCGGCGCAAACCCAGAAGAAGTCTGCGTCCTTCGACACATCAATCACATATGTCCTTCGTAGCTCAGTGAAGGTGAGCGTTGTGGATGCAGAGCCCAAGGAAGAAGATTCGGTAGCAGAGCAACATATCACCGCACACGCGAGAGAGATGGCAGCAGTGTAGATCCCGTAGTGGACTTGTATGGGTGCAGTGCTGGTTAGGATTATGATGGTCATTGCCGTCAAGGAGCCCAAAAACGTGTACATAGCAACCAGTCCGCTGACGACGGATTTCTCCGATCCTTCTGAACCAACTGACAGAAAGTCTGCAGGTAAGCCGCACTGCGCAGCGTAGACACCATTCACAGCCAATTGAAGAAGGAGCAGCGAGATGAGAAAAAATGCAGGGAGCAAGTACTTGCTGGCACCCCACATTGCAAGAAGGCCGAGCACTGCTAAGAAGGAGCCACTCAAGATAAATGGACGTCTTTTGCCCCAAGAAGAGCGATGCTGATCTGAGATTTTGCCAATCACAGGGCAAATAAGCTGTGTGGAGCCACTTACACCCATGTAAACCCCAACCCATATACTGGGGTTCTCCTGATGAAAGCGAGCAGCCTCCAAGGGAAGGACGATGACTCCCATCCCAGTGTTGAGGCAAACATAAAACATTTGATAGCAGGTAATCCCCAGCCATTTCACCAAGGGAACGCCGCGTTCGCCACGTTCGCCCGGTTCGCCGCGTGGGCCGCGTTTCGGCTCGATTCCCTGCACCAATCTGCCCAGCTCCTCCACTCGATCCTCCGGGTCCGACCAGGTCGAATCCGCATTGCCCACGTTTTGTGCACGGACCGCAGGCGGCCGCGGCACGGGGCTATCCATTGGAGAAATGGGTTCCTATGGATGTCGACGGGTTCCTATCAGTTCCTATGAATTGCTGGTTCTCTGTGGCGGCCATGCGGCCGTGAACTATTGCATGCTGCAAGGGTTGATTTGCACTGCTCAGTCCATCTGATTGATTGCGCGGGGCCTAACTGACTGGCGAATCAGCAAGACAGAAGCGAATCCATCCAGTTTGGCAAGCAAGTGCTTAGTTCCAAACAGCCAGGGCCAGGGTCATCATTTCCAAGCGCCACGCAGCTTCGGAGCAGCCTCAGCCTAGAGAGTTGTCGCTACAAGGTCTAGTCTAGATGTCGTTGGGAATCGTTTCATTGGGAATCGTCTCACCTGTAGTAACAATAAAGCAGGGAGGGGGGGAGCGGGCTAAAGAAGAAAAAAACTGTTCCCGTTCTGTCGTCCTGCAGCGGAAATTCCAGGCTTCGCACCAGCCCAGCACGCTCCCACTCGGCTCGCTTCGCCTTGAGGTCATCATCAGCCCAACATCTTGGGTCCTTTCACTGCACCACGAGCTCTAAGCAACAGCTCGGCAAACAGAAGGGGAAGTCACGAAACGAACGGCTTTCACCACCTTTTTGCAACAAAGCTGTGCCATAACTTAGAGCCAGAGGATCTCGTCCTCCCGCACTAGAGCTGCCACACCTTCGCTGCCACGCTCAAGGACCTTAGCTTACAAGAATCCATGAATCATCCAATTTCATGCAGAACGAGGGCCTACTCTGAGCCTGAGCCTGAGCCTGCTACAGATTGGCGAAATCCGCTGTTTGTACGAATGGCCGCCAACTGCAAGGGAAAAACTTGAAAATAAACCTGTTGGCTCTGTGGGGTGCACTATTCTGCTTCCTTGCTTCATCCTTTCCCTGCTTTCATTCCTCTCGCTGCTTCTAGATATATGTCGATTACACCAACAATTGCTGGTGGTGAAACAATCTTCATGAGGCCCTTAGTTAAACCCATTGGGTCTTTCAGGAGCCGGTGTGACACTCAACAAACGCCAAAGCTCAAACAAGCAGTTGTTCGAAAACTGCTCTGCTTCCAACTATGCCCTGCTTGTACCTTATATGGTATACACGTACAGTATGTTCTATGTCTATATCGTGTTCTCAAAACCCTTTTTAAAGTACTGTATCATGTTTCTGGTGCTTCGCACCAAAAGCTAGCATCTACAGCCCGAATGCTCATCCTGGCCCTAGCCCTAGCCATCTTCAGAGTGGCCATTTGCTTCCGCCAACCATTCGGAAAACACCCGAAGGAGGAGCTTGCGCGGAACGTCCAGATCCAAAAAGCCTTTGACCGTGATGATGTCCAAGTTTGGCTTTAAAATCACCAAGGCAGGGTCAGAGCGGTGCCGAAAGCGGACACTCAGAGTTCGCCATAGGTGGTCGCGCTGCCATGGCGAGTCGAAAGGCATCACCATCCAAGGTGCTGGGGGTGCAGGCCGGCCCACTGTGCGTGTGAAAGCATCCCAAGTGGTGTCAAAGCTGCACAGAACCACTTCGAACTTCTCCGTTGGTTTGTCCTCAATTTCTGGATCGCGAAGATCTAGATACAATTGGGCGACACGGCGCAGGAGTTCTTTGTTAAGCTGCAGCAGCGAGCTGGGATAGACCTGCTGGTCAACACTGCTGGATGTCATGACAATGATGCCAATGAGCGCTGCATCGTGCAAGGCCTCGGTAGTATCAATGGGGAATTCTTTGTAAGCAGTGCCTTTCAAGAGTACCGGTCCGAAGTGGCCCAGAAGACCATCCTCCCGGGTGGGTGGAGTGAGCACAATCTCCTTAACAAGCTTGTGACTCTGAGTGTCACCCTCAAGTAGTCGGGAAACAAACTCTTCACGATCCAGCCTGCGATCCCGTTTTCGGTCCATCCGCACAAAAAGATCTTCAAGTTCCTTCTTCGTCCACGTAGGCCCTTCTAGTCTGACGATGACGTGGCTCCACTCATCTCTATCTATGTAGCCATCGCCATCACTATCCATCCGGAAGAATGCCTGATTCAGAACATCAAGTGCTTCATGTCGTTCAACCTGTGCCCACCAAGACTGCAGTTGTTTCTCCGCTTTGCTAATCAGTGCTTCATCCACTTCAGAGCTCTTGGCCCGCCCGATCAGCGATTCCAAGGTCTCTGCGTCCTGGCGGCGGGCGTGGCTGGGCAGCGGTCGGCAGCCCTTCTGCAACGCCTTCGTTGCTGCATCCTTCACTTCAAAAGGCACAGGGGACACAGCGGTCACGGCAGGGGCTTCAGCACTTTCTGCACCTTCGGTGGCTTCGGTTGCAAAGCCCGCCATGGCAGCCATGCGGCCTACTTCACAGCCTCATCCTGTTTGGGATGCTCTCCACACCTTTCAACTATTATACTTAACAACTGAACAGCTTGCCTTTGATAATTATGGGGCTGTCTTGGGTAGCAGGTGCATTCGCACAAATACTACTTGGAACTGTGTGCATGCACCATTTGCAATCTATATAGAAGCTGAATCTATAGTGCAAACACACTGTCCAAAGACTCTTTGCACGATCCTGCATGTGTGCGTTTGCCACAGTAAGCTCACTGAAGAACTCCCAAGTAACACAACACAAACAAACAAATGCATGATCCCATGATCGTCGTTTGGGAGGTGTATATATTTCTTTATGTGAGTGTCAGATTTGGGGACACTGCTAGCTCATCTGTACAGAGCTGTAGGTGCTGCAAGGAAAAACTCCACCGCCATCGCACTTGCCTTTTTGAAAGGAATTTCCCTGGGAGTTTTCCACAGAATAAAACTTAGCTATATCACCAATCTCACACAACACTTCGCCGGTCCTTGGTGGTTTCTCCGTTCGGCAAAGCTCAACATGTAGCTAGCTCACCACTCAGCTCGCTCACAGCTTACTCCCTACAGAGCTTGGCTCAGCTCCCTAAAGAGAGCTTCGCCGGCTCAAGACTTCGCTAGCTCAGCATCACCTAGCTCAACACCACGTGTGCTTGCATGGCAACATGAGTGTCCCATCTCTGCTGCGTTTCTTTGAAGCTCCTGCTGTCCTGCCCCAGTGGAGGCTATACAGTACTGCTTTTGATGTAAATTTGGGGACGAGGGCATGGATGTACAACACATATTTCTCACATCAGCTACATTGGGAAGCATTTTGGCCCTTTGAGTCATACAGAGCGTAAGGCCTCAAACCTTCATGAAAGGGCCAAGGTGGCCAAGGGTGGCCAAGTTGAACCTTTGGGGATATGCTTGTCAATGAGTCAATAGGAAGGCTCGTCCAAGTCTAAGTGAAACAAAGAGCGGCCAAAGCAAATCACCAAAGAGCCCGGCCAAAGCACGCAAGCGCTGCGCAGATTCTGGAGTGTTGCCCCACACCTGTGACCAAGTTGACATTCTGAGGAAAGCTGGCTTCAAGCGCTGCTCAACACAAAGCATCAAGCATTGCCGCACAGCCGGCTTGAAACAGACATTTTCTCAGCTTTGTGCCGATACTCCAGGTGAAACTTTAAGTTTGCATCTCACCCACGTTTGCAGCCATATCCATTTGGACCACCATTGGTCAAGTCACGTTTTCCATTGCACAAAGCCTTCCCAGCAGTGCCTTTGGCCCCTCCCATCCAATGCATGATCTCAGTGGTTTCATCATCAATGTGTGCTTCACCGCCACGCTCCGCACCACGGTTGTATTGCTTTCCGCTTGCCATGATAACTTTGGAGGTAAAGTGCTCTTGGTCTCCATAATACAAATCGTTTAAGCAAATCTGTTCATTGCTTGTGCACCGCAAGGAAGGGGTCCCAATGCGTGCATTCTTGAGGAAATTGTACCCCGCCCAGTGCGCGTCGAAAGTGTCCTGGAAAAGGTTCTGGGTAAATTGCGCATTTTTTGCAAACATCAGGCCCCCATTGATGCGGCGTGCTCCGTTTTCATCCAGCCAATCTTCATTGGTCAAGAATAAATCCTTACCCTCCGCATCTAGAATGGCAGCAATTCGACGAAGTGTGTCAAGCTGTGGCTGAACCAGGGCCGCATCTGCATCTAGCATTAAAACATGGGTAAACCCCTGCTTGCTCAGCAAATAGTCGGACATCATCAAATGCTTTTCCCAGTTGTATGTCTCACGCTCATTCATCTTAATGCATGCCTGCAAGCTCTTCTTGCCACATTCCTTGATCATCCAATCTGGCAATTGAGGCTCCGTGGGGTAAGCTCGAATCACCATGACGTGGCCGTGCTTCTCTGCATGAGCACGGTTGGTCGCGAGAATTGCACGCAGCCAATCTGGACGCTTTTCCAGCTTGCGATTGTCCTTCTTGTTTCCCCATGTGCTATGAGAGTCCGACAGGACAGCCTGCAGTATGATAATGCCCCCACTTTCCTCCGCACGCGCATCAACAACCAGTGCATCCTTTCGGACCAGCCAAGTTGGGCGTGTCTCTGAGATTGGTAAACCTGCGAAAGGATCGACTGGAGGAGGCGTTGGAGGCAATGCACCAAGTTCGGGAAGCCGAGGGACTTGCGCTTGATATACATTCCACTGATCTGATGCTGGACCTTCTTCTTCGCCAAAGGGCGCGCAACAACGACACAACCAGTCAGGATGGCCAGGGCTGAACATGAAGTATCGTCCACAGTCCATTTTTGTGGCCACCAGCCCGTCACACTCCTCAACTGTTGGGATGTTGCCCAATTCTAGTGCTTGATCAGCGCATTCGGCTTTCTTGGCAAAGATTTTGGGCTGATACTTCCCGTTCACACCATCTCTGGTTTCACCGTGCGGTGTGTCTGGCTCAGGTAGCCTCGACGGTGCAGGTGACTGCGGCACAGGTGCGGCTCTTGACACAGGTTCTTCTATGTGGTCATTGAAAGCCTGGGAAGTGCTAGTTGGGCCAGGTGCAGGCGTTGGCACCTCAACCCGGTGGTCGGCTGTGACAGCCGCTCGTTCCAAATTGAATTCTAAGTACAGGCCAGGAATTCCAACACAAGCAGCGCCCAAAACAATTGGTAGGGCTCCTCTACAACCCTGTCGCCGTGTTCCAGTCATGTGCCACTGAGGCCATGTTCATGGCGCTGACCTTCCCGCCCCATGTTTTCACAGCCCAGTTTTGAACGCGCTTTGAAAAGTGGCGGCCAAAAGCGGTTCCAGCTTCTTCTGCGGCGCCAAGTTGACATGTCAAACAAAGAACTCACCTTATATCAGAAAAGAATCCAACATCAAGTTGGCATGTTCCACCACCACAATGAAACTCCGGATCCAAATGCCACGCCTTTAGGAATGACGCTGCCAGCGCCTCTCCAAGAGTTCGGCCAGCCTAGCCAAGTGGCACCACTCCTCACCCCACCAGGAATCCTTTGAATGAAACCTGTATCTTTGAGGTTGGTGTGATCCATTTTGTTTTGAATCCCAGCGTTTGGAGGAGATTTCTAGTTCTCTAAAGAGATATGCCACAAAGTATTTCCGCTCAAATTGTTTCACCATACCACTGTGCTTGACCTGCCCGTCTTGCAGTGCTTCAGCGAGTCGGGCTGCCGCTTTGGCTTCGAAGCTGCCCTAGAAGAAGAAGAAGAAGAAGAAGAAGAAGAAGAACAAGAACAAGAAGAAGAAGAAGAAGAGCAAGGGAACACATAGACAGCTCCTCCCCTATACCCCAAAGAATGTGTGCAACAAAGCAATGGCTGCAGCACTTGCAATGGTTTCATGTCATGAGCTATGAACAATCTTTTGACTGTGCTCCTCTTCCCCATGAGCTGCAGCCTGCTTGAAAGCATGACTGAATGGCAAAACAACGCGCTGAATTTCCAAACAGTCAACTCCCTTGGTCCAAATAGATTGATATTCTACCAAACCACACGCGGATAAATTCCTAACCTAACCATTGAAGCAATGGATGTCATTGGGCAAATGCCATTCCGCACCGCCTGCGCTTCCTTCCGAGCTTCCTCTTTAGGCCTTGCTACCCCAACGGTCAGGATTTCAGACATTGTCCCTCAAGCCCTGGGGGTCAGGCGGGTCAAAGGGGTCTGCTGCCTCCACATCGCTGTGGTCAAAAACCACCTCAAGGACATGTCACGTTCTTTGGCGCTTCGGGTGAACATTACGGTATAATTCACCGCACTCCTTTCAAAGCAAAGAAGAAAAAGTACATGAGCTCAGTTTCCGACAATCTCTCCAAGGTTTTGACCTCGAACAAGCTTCGAGCCCATAAAAATTCCCAAAGTACATTAGGATCTCCCATTGTGATCGTCTAACTCTTGGAAGGAGCGCTCTTTTTTGACTCCATGGCTTATCCAGCCAATATCTGCAAGCGGTGCAACTGTGTTAGCCCACGCGCCAGTGCAGCCTGAAGTTGCTGCTTTAGCTGTCCCAGATCAGCATCACAAGCAGCTTTGGACGCAGAAGCTACATTTGCATCATCTGCCCCACACTTCTTCATGGATTGCTTCGACAAACCATTTCGAATCCAGTTCTCACGAATGGGTTCCAAATCACTTGGGACAGGCTCTTGCCAGCGTTTCAATTGCGATGCGGCAAAGGATAGTTCCATTTCTCCAAAATCCGGAGTGGATTGCGAAATGCCATTCAATGGCACTTGGTCAGGCGTCTGCATTGTGGCCTGGGAAATTCGTAAGCCAGGCTCCTGAGTGACACCCTGCAAAGGTGAATTGAACCTGTCCAATTGCACCTTGTCAGGACTGAAGGACCACCTCGCCAGCACCTGGCTAGTTGCAGCTGCACCCTGATCTGTTTGCACACCAGCATCGCAGTGCAAGCTTGACGTCACTGGATTCATGCACTCCTCCAGCTGCGTCTGGGCAGTGTCTGTCTGCACTGCCATCTCCCCAATGCCCTCAATCTTGCTCGGCCGCAGGAGCTTCGATGGTTGAGGTATTCGAACTGGACTCTGGCAGTTCACTTCATCATCAGACCCAAAGCCAGCATATGACCTCGTAGGGCTCCTCAAGGCCGCCCGCGCAGGTGCAGCGGGCAAGCTGAGTGGATCCATTCTGGGAAACTCGGAGCTTAAAAGACCATGCAAGGTCGGCGTTCCTGCCTCGGAGGGACTCAAACGAGGCGGCCTAGCCAATTCAATTGAATTGCATGCTGCTTTGCGAGGACGGCCACATGAAACCATGGCAGCTGCAGACGCTGCAGCTTTGGCGACTTCCACAGCTGCGGCAGCATCTCTTTGCGGCGGCCCTCTGGGAGCACGCAGGGGGCTTGCAAACTCATTATGTCGAAAACTCTGAAGTTCTCTCTTCAATTTCCTTTCTCTCTTTCTCTCGCCCATTGGCACACATAAGCGGGTGGAAGCATTCTGTGGACCCATCAAATGAACGGCTGTCGGCGCTGGAGGGTTGCTGGAGGCGCGAGCCCTCTCAGGCTTGGCACAGGGAGCCGCTGGGGTGCGCAGCGCCCCGGAACTGCTCAGGCTGGTGGAGCCGTGTGAAGCAAAGACCGGAGCCCATGATGCCCACAGACCAGAGGATGGCTCCATCATCAGAGGTCGAGTCGGAGATGCCGCCGCCAGTTGAAATCGTTCCATGTCATTTGCTGTCCAGCCTGAATGGACAGAATGGAAGCCACCCGTGCCACCCGTGCTTGGATGTGAAAAAGGCATACCAACCGTGCTGGCTGTGTCCAAGTAGCTGAGCCCCTGATTCCCCGTATTGCCTTTGAAGCTGGAGCTTGGAAAGTGGCAAGGGCACGTTTTATACGCAGTACCGCTCTCACCCTCTTTGCAAAGTTGAACTTTCATGGGGGCAAGTACGCCTTCAGTGCTTTCATCACTTTGGCAAGGAAACCGTGGAGTTGACATTGGTGCCAAATGCAATGAACTGGTCGTATGACACACTGAAGGCCTGGCTGGTGCCAATATGGCCTCCCTGTTTGAATTTCCAGCAGATCGTTCCACGCTGATACTGCTGATGGATCCAAGCGACTCGTTGACATCGCTCTTGGGGTGGACCTCCTCGATGGGAACCACGCCATATCGCTCTTCAAAGCTGCGGATATATTCATCCAAGCGTCCAGTAGGACTAGTGGCCGTGTTTGGCATTCAGCATGCAACCCCAACAAAGCGACTGACCAGGTCGTCGAATTTCAACTCTGCACATGTGAGCACTCACAGTGGCTGCGGCAAATATCCAATCATACTCTGACTTTTGTTAGGCTGGGTGCTTACACTTTTTCCACCATGCAAGCAATGAACCTGTTCAAATGCTAGGACAAAGACAATCGCGGGGGCCCAGTGCCAGGCGCTCCCTGCGCCAGATTTTTGCCATGCGGTGATTCTTAAGTGGTTGTGGAAATATTTCATGTTCTGTTGTGTGGATATGCCATGGGCATATGTTGGCCAAGAGCTTGTAGAAGTCCCGTAGCTACAGTAGTTGTTGTGAATTGTTTCTTTGGCTTGGATCTGACCAACACGGCGGTCCTTTCTTGCTATTGCATGAGTTGCTGGGATGCACTTCAAACAACATTCATTTGCATTCCGGTTTCCAGCTCAATACTTGTAGTGATCCTAGCATCAACCACCGCGTCCACTTGCAAACATGCACGAGCCAAGACTGCGATACCAAATGAAGCAACACGGGATATACTGTAACATGTTTAAGCAAACACCTATATGTCCTTATCGTTGGACCTTTTACCCCTTCAAAACCACGCAGGACCATCCACAAGCACGTAACCTGAATGGCACGGTTTTCCACCAAAAGTTTATAAAGATTCACGTAGTGGCACTCTGGTGGGGCTGCAATAGATTACTGCCACAGTGCTCGTTTCCAAGAATGCTTGGCAGGCAATTTCCGAAACAAAGCGTCTGTTGCCTGATTTTGTGGTATCGCTCTGGGGTTTCTACTGGGCGAATCTTTTTGCAGGCCTTTTTTTTTAGTTTACCGGAGGCATAGGAGCACGTATGTTTTACTCAACCACCCCCACCTTTTGGGCAGCTACCCGCCCACGTGTAGGCCTCACTTTTTTCGTGTGTGTCCAGTGTTTTTTCCCTCGGACTGCCCTGCGTCAACTTGCTCACTCACAATACTTGCAGGCGCTCGAAGCTTAGGATGTTCAACCTTTGGGACGTGCACATTTTTGTGTTGTTTCGTTTGGCTCTCACACTCTACTATATAATATATACATTTTTTGGTGCCATGGGCGCGGACTCACGCCCGTTGGCGGCGCCATCTATGCCTAGTGTGGCCTAGCACGCTGGACCACCACCGACGGTTTGCCGCCCCTCAATTATTAACATGAGCGTCAATTTAACATAGCCCATAGCATCAACATCCCACGCAAGTGCACATGAACGTTAACATGCCCCACCCCACCCCAGTTAACATGAACATTAACATAAGCCATAGCATCAACATCCCACGCAAGTGCACATGAACATTAACATGCCCCACCCCACCCCACCCCAACTACTTAGACATGTCGTAAACATGTACAAGAAACAAGAACATGTGAATGCTTCCACGGTTGTGCAAATCCGTGCCACCAAAAGCATGAGATACAGAATTTGCGTTTTCCTTGCGTCTACCAAATCCCGAAGACGCCGAATTAAATACACGGTTTCAGCGGTAGAGCGACCTTTCCTAAACCCGAACTGTAGAGGACGAGTGTGATCGTCCAACCCGTCTGACAACCGGTTTGCGACGAGTTTGGCATACAACTTGTAGCAAGTCTGGAGTAAGCTGATAGGGCGATAGTTTGTGGGTTCGGTGGCACTACCTTTTTTGGAATAACCCGATAACCTGCGCAAGCTTCCATTGAGACGGGCTCGTTAAATTAACTAAACAGAAACTTTCAGGCGTCCAATCCCTATCCTTGTGGGTGAACCCAAAATTATGTAGGAACGCAGTCTTTGCCAGCTCCCTTGCCGGGTTTTGACTGCCGAATAGCCTGCAGCACTTCTTCGTTTCAGAAATGGTCGGGACAAGTTGTAATATTGGTGCGGACGAGGGGCCAACCGGCTCACCCGCCTCCCGCCATTGGTTTCTAGCAAGATGGATTGCACAGATTTCCGCGTTATTGGCACCTGTCCCTGCATCTGTTGCGTCGGCAAGCATGAGCACACGCTGCGGGTTTGTTTAAGTTAGTGATTGGTCGCCAGTCGCCTGTGCGGAGCTGATTGTCCAGCCATTCGCGTTTGTCGTGCCTTCAACGCGTTTAATCTGCCGGTGCAGTTCCGCAATATGGTCCATGCGCCCTTGTGTGCGAAGGTGCCCCCTCTGCTCAATAAGTTGCAGTGTGTGGGGGGGGGGCTGATCCAGGGGTGGCGTGGCGGGGCCCAGTGGTACACTTCGGGATATTATGGTTGATGGCATTCATTTATACCGACGAACTGAAAGTTGGAATGCCATACCGGCTTTACGATTGTGGCTCAGAATGCGTGCCTCATTTTCCTACACTTAAAATGCCTGCACGGCCCCACAAATAGTAAAAATTTAGGGCGGCATTCTGACTGTCAGTCCGGCTACAGTGTTTTGCATCAAATGAGCTCTATACAGTGATTGAATCATGTAAACACTGTGTATATATATATATATGTGTGTGTGACTCTCACGTGTATATAGGCCTTCAATTGCTGCATGGCGCCAACTCAAATTTCTGAATTTCCCTCTTTTGGGCCAAGGCAGTAGGCAAAACATTTCAACAATACATATAGATTAGCCCAAGTACGCCTCAATATTTTTCCAGACACGTCTCAGGTACCCGTCAACATGCTGGGAGGCCTTCTAAGTGGTAGCGAAAACCTAGACCCCCCACCCCCTGGTATTCTCTGGTAGATGTGCGGAAATTCCATTTACCATGTGTTCGCAACGCTGCGCTCTTATCCACGCAAGAACCTGTTGTCTGCATCTTCACTTGTCGCAAAACAACCCTTTCCGTACATGTGGGGGCCTAGCACAGCGGCTTCACCGTGCACTTTTCCACGCAAGCCACGAGTTGAAACCGCCAACTACTAGCAAAGGACCTTAACGTTTCAATCTCTCAGTGTGGGCGTGAAGCTATTCAAAATGAGCCCGCCGTTCATCTTCTGGCAGGGCGTTTTGGAAAACATACGTGTTAATGATATGGATCCCACCTGCCGCCATAAGTAGCGATACATTTTTTTAATACACTAGCAATGCGGCTGTTGACAGGCTGCACGCGAACTAATGCACTACATGCAAAGGGAAAACCTACGCCGGTATGTTCCTGCTGGTTGCTACGGGTAGTACTGAAAGTCATACAAATGTAGTTGTCGACAACATATTGGGTCGCGTGTTTTGACTTGGCCCCTTGCAAACACAGGGCCTCGATGTTGTGGGCACGCATGTAGTCAACCAGTTGCCTGCGCATGGCCAGCCTGAGAAGTGAGCGCGCCTTTAGAAAGGCAATCATGAGGGTAGAAGCATTTGGCATCTTATACGGCACACGTGGGTCCCTAGTTTTTTTCCAGGCGCGCAGATGGAAATATATTCGCGCGTTTCAAATGCCGTGAGGCTTGAGTGGCCTGGTTCCGAAGCGGGGTTTGTATATTCGACATGTACCATCTATATCCTTGTCGGTGGGCTCCGCCACGTTCGAGCCACCTTGCTCGGCCCTGGCTTTCCTTCTGTTGCCGAGGACCATCTATTGTTTTTGCGCCCCTGGACGCGGCACGTGGGCAAATCCTTTGTCGCCCTCATCGTTGCTGCAGCCATCATATGCTCGGGCATGCTAATGTCGGCCCCGTCTCTTTGCTCTTGAAAAGTCTGCCACGCGTAGTGGTTCCCAAAGAACATTTTTTTTGTATGGGGTCGGCGTACACAACCGCGCATTGTCATCTTGAAGGCACACTATAGTATAGTGCAGTTTTCTCAAATGCCTTGGCGAAATAACTCCGAGTTGCTCGCGCTTGCTCGAACCACTGAGTTCCAAGGTTCCGATGGGACGAAGGCTGACAATGCTGGATGGGTGTCGTGAAGGGCCTGGTGCTTGTTTTCCGTATGCCCAGAATTCCGTACGGTCAGGATGTTGTAAAATTCTGGTTCGGAACTCTGCAGCACATCTACCCAGAGTTGATAAATAGCCACAAGTTTCCGCCCACGCGTCGAGGGTTGCCCTTCCATTGGTCGTTCTGCCATTGTTATGTCGAAGCGCACGCGGTACGCACACAGCCATGTCCGCAATGGGGATCGCCGCTCCACACCTTATGAACCAGGCAAGTGAGCTGTGCATCTGTCATTTCCCTCAAGGCAAATTTGCACCTCATCTTCTGTATGGTGGTGTTAGGCTGCATCTCCGAGTCGGCGTCACAGCACTGATCTTGAATTGTTGTTTTTCTATTTTGGTTTCGTACCAGCGTCCTTGGCACCATCAACAATTGTTGCTGCATCTTTGCCAATGTGGCTGCCCCTAAGTACAATGAACTAGTTCCACAACGCACAAGTTGCACGCGGTTCGCCATCGAGTACATTGGTCTCATCCGCACACAAATCGCTCAACAGCGCTTGATGTACGGACAAAATATGTTGCATGGCGCACATTAGTGTGAGAGTTGCCAGAGTTATTGTAGGCTCACTGGTAGCATCTGCCTAGTAAAGTTTGGGGGATCTCCTGGCTAAGCTTCGCGTATCAGCTTGAAATCAAAACAGACCACGTGCCAGTTTGGACAGCACACGGCTGGCTTTAGTTTCGCTACGTCTCTGTGCTTGATAAGCTATCTCACGTATGACGGACCGTCGATGGGCCCAACGGGCCCAACGGGCCCCAACAGGCCGACGGGCTCTCGATGGGCATGTGACGCGCCCACGACGGACAACGGGCCCAACGGGCCCGCAACGGGCCAGCCAACTATCTGCATACAAACAATTAACTTAGTTCATTGCAGGTCATGTTTGGTGCTTGCTACAGCCCCAAACGAAAAACCTGAAGCCCACCAGCTGCTGGAACCTTTTGGTGCCACAAGGTCGGTACGTGTATGATTGTGCGTGCCCTCGCGTGGTCCGCCGCAGGCGACCTGCAGGGGAGGGCCGCAGAAGGATCAGAACAGTTGAAATGTCCAGCCGCGTGCGGCTGGTCATGGGGCTGGTCATGGAAACAGTCGCCCGCGCTCAACGACAAATAGTTGGCCGAATAACGCAGCTCCAGGTCTGCCATGTTGGTGACTGGTGACGTACAAAGCGTTCCTTCTAGTGGCAGTGCTGGAAAGCCGTTCGCACCCATGCCCTCTCTTGAAACCAACCTGCTTGAAACGTGTCATTTCGCATTCCACTCACCGGATGCGCGCACCCGATGCCATCATCACCATCGT